AATAATAATGGGTGGTTACAACCGTTTCCCCTTCGTGTATTTAGCATGGCTGTATCACCTTCTTCTCTGTAAACTTTTCATTCTGAAATCCAATGAACAACTCACTTCAACACTTTAGGTTTCACTCTTGAACCTCTCCGTCAATATATTTTAAATTTAATGTTAATATTTTTTGTTATTTTATTTTTAAAATGTTATGTCAGCTGCTACGTATGATATTATTACCAGCTGCCCAACCCCTCATCTCATTTATATATATTGTGTGGATCCGCCGTTGATGGTTTCCTAGAATTAATCGGTTCTTGACTTAAATGCACGAAAATTGCAAGTTAATAAGTATAATTGTACTTTTAAAAGTTAATAGACCTAATTGACTTCTCGTATAAAGTTTGGGAGCGTATTATCGGATTGTCTAACACATGGAAGGTAAGAGAGAAGAAGTGAACGAAAGCAGGAAGAAGAAGATTTATTATCTGGTGAGTCAACCAGGAGCATTAGCAACATATATACTGTGGACGTAAGCCTCTTGGCAGTTATAACTGCCCATAACAAGGGAATTACATAAAAGCCCTTTAGGATTGTTTTATATCATCTAATACTCCCCTAAACTGGCGCATGGAGGTCCTCGATGCCCAGTTTAGACTTGAAAGCCTGGAAAGCAGTGGAGGGCAGAGCCTTAGTAAGGCCATCCGCAATTTGTGAAGAAGAGCGAACAGATAGTAATTTGATGAGGTCTTGATTGAGTGTTTCACGCACAACATGACAGTCTATGTCGATATGTTTTGTCCGTTCGTGAAACACGTGATTCTCGGCGATTGCAATGGCCGATCTGTTATCACAAAACACGGCAGCAAGCTTGTTTAGTTTACAATGTAAATCGCTGAGCAAAGAAGTTATCCATTGTGTCTCGCAGACAGTTGAAGCAAGAGCACGGTACTCTGCCTCTGAGGAAGAACGTGAAACCGTCATTTGCTTCTTTGAGCGCCATGAGATGAGAGCAGAGCCTAGGAAAACACAGAATCCTGTGATGGACTTACGAGTTTCTGGAAGCCCAGTCAGAATCTGCAAACACGTTCAACTGGACTGCAGTGTTTCGAGGATATAGTAAGCCTTGCCCAGGAGCTCCTTTGATGTAACGAAGAACTTGGTGAGCAGCACTCATGTGTTCTGATGTTGGAGAGCCCACAAACTGGCTCAGTTGTTGTGTGGCATAAGCAAGATCCAGCCTTGTAGCCATTAGGTACAATAAGCGACCAACCAGTTGTTTGTATGGAGCTGCATCAGTAAGAGAGGAACCAGTTTCTTTTGTCAATCGTTGTCCAGGGACTATGGGAGTGGTAACCGGTTTGCAGTCGAGAAAACCGGGCTCTTCTGATGAGAGTGGAACAGTTTCAATCAACTCATAACAGAACGGGAGAATACAAATATAGACTTAAGAGAGAGAGCTAACAACTAGGCTAAAGACTAGATCTCTCAGTAAGTCAATAACAACATTATTATAAACTATACAATAAAAGATATATAAAATATATGTCTAACACTCCCCCTCAAGCACAAGGTGAGTGAGACACCACATTGAGCTTGTCACGCAACGCTCCAAACCGAGCTGCTGGTAGCGGTTTGGTGAAGATATCCGCTAGCTGATCTTTGGTAGAAACGAAGTGAACCTGAAGCTGTCCTGCAGAGACTTTGTCCCGAATAAAGTGATAGTCGACCTCAACGTGCTTCGTACGAGCGTGAAAGACTGGATTGGCGCAGAGATATGTGGCTCCAAGATTGTCGCACCATAACGTCGGAGCCGTCAATGAGCCTAGACCAAGCTCATTAAGCAATGAAACAACCCAAGTAACCTCTGCACACGCATCTGCCAATCCCTTGTACTCAGCCTCAGTGGACGATCGTGCAACTGTACGTTGCTTTCGGGACACCCAGGATATTAGATTCGACCCCAAGAATACGGCATAGCCACTAGTAGACTTCCTGTCAACTGGGCACCCAGCCCAGTCGGAATCAGAGTACGCATGAATGTCGGCGGACGCAGACGCAGAAATCTGCAACCCGTAGTCCAAAGTACCACGAACATAACGTAACACACGTTTAAGGAGCCCCCAATGTTCTTCTGTGGGTGAATGCATGAACTGACACAGACGGTTCACCGAATAGGATAGATCCGGGCGTGTGATGGTGAGATACTGCAGCGCACCGGCGAGACGTCGATAAAGAGTCGGGTTGTCAAACGACTCCATGGACTGACTAACTGGCTGAGAAACAGAAGCGGGAGTTGCAAGCGTTTTACACTCGGTCATACCAGCCCGTTGTAGGATGTCACGCATATAGCGGCGCTGAGAAAGAACTAGCCCTCCGGGAACACTTAAGGTTTCAATGCCTAGGAAGAACGTGGGAGTTCCAAGATCACGAATCTTGAACGCTGCCGCTAATTTACCGAGTAACGTGTCAACTAGGGATGGTGCATTCCCAAGCATAATGATATCATCCACGTATACGAGCAAAAAGACTCTTGAGTTCCCTGCAGAGTAATGGAAAAGGGATACATCCGTCTTCGAGGCAACGAACCCCGTGATAAGCAAGAAATCATGCAAACGCTTGAACCAGGCCCTCGGGGCTTGCTTCAACCCATAGAGGGACCGCTGTAAGTGACATACATAATCGGGCCGATCTGGGTCTTCATAACCCGGCGGCTGTCGCATATAGACCTTCTCGGCTAGATGCCCATTCAAGAAGGCGTTATGGACATCTAACTGACGTAGCGTCCACCGTCGAGATACTGCAAAAGATAAAAGTATCCTGACCGTAGTGGGCTTGACCACCGGACTAAACGTCTCGAAAAAGTCTTCCCCGGCCACCTGATTAAAGCCCTTGGCTACTAGCCGGGCTTTGTAGCGCTCTATTGAACCATCGACCTTCCGCTTTGTGCGGAAAACCCACTTGCAACCCACAATGTTCATGTCTGGAGAGGCCGGAACTAATTGCCAAGTACTGTTATGCAATAGTGCATTAAACTCCTGGTCCATAGCATCCCGCCATTGCGGATGTCCAACCGCCTGTGAGTAGCAGGTTGGATCATCAGTTGCTGCAACGAGGGCATGTAACTGTTCCTCGGACTCCTGAGTCATGCGCCGGAGCCGCATAGTGTGTGACCGGTCTTGTAGGACCTGAACCCGCCTTCCCCATTTCCTCGGTTGTGCCTTCGGTGGCTGCGGTGCAGCCACTGGCGGTGGAGGTAGGACTGGAGGGACCGGGCTAGGTTGATGGGCCACAGGACAGGAGGCCCATGGCACTTCTGATGTAGACGCCTTGGAGCTTATTGCCACGGAATTAACTGCAAAAGGGAAAACAGTCTCGTCAAAACGAACATGACGACAGGTATAGGTTTTCCCAGTGTTTAAGTCTATGCAGCGGTAACCCCTAAAGGAAGGTGGGTAACCTAAGAAGACGCATGGACTCGAGCGAAACTCAATTTTGTGACGGTTATAAGGCCGAAGATAAGGAAAGCAAAGGCACCCAAATACTCGTAAGTATGTATAGTTGGGTGGTTGCTTATATAGGCGATAAAACGGTGTATCAAACTGTAGTGAGGATGACGGTAATCTGTTAATTAAGAAGGTTGCAGTTTCAAAGGCATGATCCCAATAGCGTTGTGGAACAGACGCCTAGGCCATTAGAGCCAGACCAGTCTCGACAATGTGTCGATTTCGACGCTCAACACGGCCATTTTGCTCGTGTGTATACACACAAGACTGTCTGTGTACAATTCCCAAGGTAGTGAACAATTTGTGTAATTTTTGGTATTCCCCCCCCAGATCGGACTGAATGGACTTGATAGAACGTGAAAACGTACGTTCTACCATCGCCCTAAACACATCAAAAACTTTATATATATATCGGTTTTCAATCGTAGAGGATAAAACCAACAATAGCGGGTATTATCATCTACGAACAGTACAAAATAGCGCGAGCCATTCGCAGAAAGAATAGGTGCGGGGCCCCAGATATCAGTGTAAATTAAATCTAAAACACCATGACTAGAACTATGAACCCTATCTAAAGGAAATCGGGATGATTTCCCAAGTTGACATGAAGTACATTAGTTTGGCATGATATTATTTGTGGGTACAACCGGGCAATCCCGTAAGACACGACTCAAGGCTTGATTATGTGGGTGACCGAGACGCTGGTGCCATACAGCTGATGAGGCACGAGCCGAGACGAACGCATAGTTTGACTTTGGAACCGACAACGAATACAAGCCCCCCGAGCTTGGACCTTTAAGCAGTACCGCCTGTGTGACGCAATCCTTCACAAGAAAAAATGTGGGGTGAAACTCAAAATAACAATTATTATCTTTTGTAAATTTGTTAACAGATAATAATGACACAGATAATTCGGGGACATGTAAGACACTGGATAATTTTAAAGATTTAGAACTCGATGGAATTACTGCATGACCCACACTGGAGATATCCAAACCTGCGCCATTGCTCATTCTTAACACATCATCTCCGTGATAATCTTCAGATTGCGAAAGCAGCCCGGGATCTGGTGTGGCGTGAGTTGTGGCCCCAGTATCCGGTAGCCACGCGCGTGGCTTGATTGTGGGAACCGCCATCCGCCGTGACTGCCATGTGTGCCTGCGATGGAGGTGGCTCCGAGTAGCGGCGATGACAATAAGCCGCCGAATGGCCTTGGGCTCGGCATATCTGGCAGCGAACGGGACCACGACCATTTCCGCGTCCACGGCCACCTCGGCCATTGCCTCCGCCGCGGCCTCCTGCTCCGCGACTGCCGCCGCCGTGCTGGCCATCACGCTGGTTCCCATCTCCATGATTCCGGCGGCCAGAGCCTGCATACATCGCCACTGGATCGCCGGTCGCCGGAGTGGGAAAATCATCGGCATGAATAAACTGTTGCGCCTGTAGACAGTCCGCAAGCTGGGGAATCGTCATGGGTGTGCCGTTGACTGCCAAGGAAGCAGCCATGGATCAGAATTCCGGGCGTAACCCCCGGAACACATATAGATTCTGTTCCGAGAGGGTCATGGGACGGCCGGCGAGCGCTAGATCCTCCACGAGGTGTTGCGCACGGCCCAAATATTCCGGCATGGACATGTCTCCCTGCCTCAACGCCTGAAATTGCCCCATGAGGTTCAGACAGCGCACCTGCGATGAGGATCCGAGCGCCGTCTCCGCCGCCAGCCATACGCCACGCGACCTGGTCTGCCCGAGCGTTAGGTACATTACCTCCTCGGAGATGGAAGAGATGAGAAGGGAGAGAATTGAGGTATCTTGCTCCAGCCACGCCTCATAGGCCGGATTAGGAGTCACAGACGCAGTGTCTATCGCAGCTTCGCCGGTGGAAGTGTCGATCACCGGTGACGGGCACGGACGGGAGCCGTCGATGAACCCGAGCAAACGCTGCCCACGGAGGAACGGGATGATTTGGGTACGCCAGTATAGGTAATTTGTGTGGGTTAATTTGAGTGACACAAAATGGTGTGCACTCGGTAAGGAATTCGGGGGATTAGGGGAGGAAACGGAGGTGGTGGTGATGGTTCTCTCTGAACTCTGCGACATGGTCGAAAAAAGGGGAGGAGAGAGAATAAGATTCTAGGATTCTTATTGGCTAACTGATACCAGATGAGAGTGGAACAGTTTCAATCAATTCATAACAGAACGGGAGAATACAAATATAGACTTAAGAGAGAGAGCTAACAACTAGGCTAAAGACTAGATCTCTCAGTAAGTCAATAACAACATTATTATAAACTATACAATAAAAGATATATAAAATATATGTCTAACACTTCTAAGATATCCAGAGCATATTCCCTCTGGCAAATATTCAAACCATTATCCTTCATATGAGCTTCAATGCCCAGAAAATACCCCAAGCTTCCTAAGTCCTTGATCTTGAATTCACTGTCAAGAAAGGATTTAAGGTCTTGAATAAGGGATAGGCTGGAACTGGTGACTAGAATATCATCCACGTATATAAGAATGGCTATGAATGATGCATCACAGGTTTTAGTAAATAGAGAAGGATCACATTTTGATGGCTGAAATCCTTTGTGAATTAATGTGGCACTCAACTTAGCATTCCATTGTCGGCTAGCTTGCTTCAAGCCATAAAGTGATCGAAGAAGCTTGTATACTTGACCAGGGTGCTGCTCTTGGAAGCCAGGTGGAAACACCATGTAGACCTCCTCATCTAAATCCCCATGGAGGAAAGCGTTGTTAATATCTAGTTGATGAATATGCCAAGCTTGAGAAGCTGCTACAGCTAAGAAGGTGCGGATGGTGGTGATCCTTGCTACGGGGGAGAAGGTTTCTAGGTAGTCAATTCCCAGCTGTTGGGTGTATCCCTTGGCTACCAATCTGGCCTTATATCGTTCCACCGATCCATCCGCTTTAAGCTTCACTTTGTAAACCCACTTGCAACCAATTGGAACTTTCCCAGGTGGAAGATCGACCAAGGTCCATGTGTGGTTGTCTTCCAGAGCTTTAATTTCATTAGTCATAGCCTCCTTCCAACAATTATCACGTATGGCCTGATTATAAGTTCTTGGTTCTTTGATGGAAGTGATTGCCATAGCAAACTTCATATGTGGCATGAGAAGATGGTTGTAAGAGATAACTTTTGATAGCTTGTGAGGAGAAGTGCCTTGTGAAGTAGTTGCATCACAATAATAATCTAACAGTTTGCTTGGAATGTAACGGTTTCTATCAGAACGTCGAGGAGGTGCATCAACAGAGGCTGGATCCGGAATCTGTGTATCAGTCATAGAGTCTGAAGTGTTACTGTCAGGTTCATCATGTATTGGCTGATCATTCTCATGTGGAATACTATAATCTGCACATACATCTTCATGTGGAATGTTGTCATATGCATGTGTATTATTAGGATGTGCTTGACTGGACTGACTATTATTCCCAGACCAGAGCTGAGCATCAGGCTGGCCATTATCTTCATGCCAATCAAGGTCCATGGTAGTGGGAACATTTGGAAGAGAAGGCTCATCAGAGGGCTGATTCTGGACTGTCTTAGCTGCCATGGGGAATTGAGACTCATAGAACGTAACATCCCGAGACACAATAACATTTTCATCTTCCAAATCATATAGAAAATACCCTTTGATTCCGGTTGGAATGCCAATAAAAATATATTTCTTTCCTCTTGGTGCCATTTTGTGTCTTGCCTTAGAAATCGTAGCAGCATAACATAAACAACCAAAAACTCTAAGACTGTGAAGGTCAGGTGGACTGCCATATAAACGTTGATAGAGAGTTGACACACCAATAGTGGGAGATGGGAGTCTATTAATGAGAAAAACAGCATGCATCACACAATGGCCCCAAAATTTCAAAGGTAAATGAGCTTGAAAGTGTAGAGATCTAGCAACATTGAGAATATGTTGATGTTTTCGTTCCACAACGGCATTTTGTTGGGGAGTATTCACACATGAGCGTTGATGCAGTATGCCTTTTTTCCAAAAAAAATTCATCCATTCGAAATTCCATACCATTATCACTCCTAATGGTTTTAATCAGTTTCCCAAACTGAGTAACTACATAAGCCTGGAAGTTTTTGATAAACTGCCGTGTTTGAGCTTTAGATTTCATCAAATGGATCCATGTAAAACGGGAATAATCATCAACTATGGTAAGAAAATAATATTCTCCATTCATGGAACAAACCGGGAAAGGCCCCCAAATATCAACATGTTTCAAATCAAAGCAAGTAGTAGAGCTAGTGGTACTCAAAGGAAAGGGAGAACATTTATGTTTAGCTCGGTGGCAGACATCACAAGCTAAAGTGTTTCCCTTAGAAGTATCTATATCACATAGAAGGTGGATTTTGTTGGTTGGAAAATGTCCTAACCTTTGATGCCATAACTCCAAGTTGTTGCACTGCGCAACAAGGTGTTTATTCTGCATGTTTGATTCCTTCATCACATAGAGGCTTCCTCTTTCCTTAGCTATACCAATTATCTGCCCATGAGTCCCCTAGATCACACACTGTTTGGCCATAAAAGTTAGTCTGTAAGTAGTATCTTGTATGAGTCTGCTCACAGAAACAATATTGAACTTGAAAGTGGGAATATGCAATGCTTCCTTTAAGTATAAACTGCCATTAAGTCTTGCCTCTCCTATATGTTGAACTGTTATGCACTGGCCAGTGGGAAGATTCACCTCAACATTATTAACCACACGATAATTGATGAAACAGTCGAGGGAACACACAATGTGATTAGTGGCCCCCGAGTCAAGAATCCAAGTAGAAGCAGTTAAATAGAGAGTGTTAATAGAGAGCTTGCCTTCACCAATTGTATGCAACTCTTTGAAGTTGGAAGTCAAGGTTGTTGCAGCAGTTAAATTGGCAGTGGATGCGGATGGTTGAGCAGAAGAATTCTGCAGGATTGAAATGAGTTTATGCAATTGTTCATGTGTTATCCCTAGATCTCTATTATCCAAAACAGCTGCTGCAGTTTTTTGTCTATTCTTCGCCTTATAGCCTTGGATCCAACCAGGAGAAAATCCATGTTTTTTGTAACATCTCTCCACTGTATGGCCAGTCATGCCACAGTATGAGCATTTTGCCTTAGCAACACCATTGTTTCTTCTATTATTGTTAAAGGAAGGTGCAACCACTGTTTCTTCATTCAGAGTGTTTTGGACAACATTAGATTGAGCAATGTCCAAGTTTCCTAAGTTCAGATTTCTCAAACTGATCTGCCTTTCAAGTTTCTCAGCCATAACAAAAACCTTATACACCTCTGGCAAGGGATCTAAAACCAGGACACTTGATTTTAAACTATCATAATCATCATTTAAGCCTTGGAGAAACAAAATTACCTAATTAGTTTCCCTCTCACTTCTGATGACTTCAACAAGATCACAAGAGTATTTCGGATTGCATTTGCATAAGAAAATTGGCCTTAGGTTACGTTGTTCATCTGCTCCCATAGGGTTCTGCTCTTAGTGTAATAATCACTAACAGAGTGATTTCCTTGTCTTAGATTGTGGATCTCACTCTGTAAACTCGAAATCCGCTGTGCATCCCTCTGTGAGTAGCGCTTCCTCAGATCCTCCTAGATATCTCTCGCATGATCAAAGTGCATTACGCTCTGGACTATCGAAGGATGTAGCGACTTGAAGATCCAGGAGCAGATCATCAAGTTGCACCTCCTCCATGCTGGATAATGTTGCTGATCTCTGCCTGGTGGTGTTGTGCTCCCATCCACCAAAGTCCATTTATTCTTTACCTCCAACGCAATTTGAATAGAGACATTCCAAGTGCCTTAGTTAGCACTGCCGATCAACGGCGGAGCCACGAGAATGGCCGACGGACTATCGTTGGCATTCAAGTACAAAGGATCCTCTAGATCTACTGCGTTATAGCTTCTGTGATGTTGAGGGCTCAATTCAGGAGCCGGCTGAGCTGGAGGCTGGTTGATCGGCGTAGCAACATTGCTGGTGTCGCCAACGCCGGTAAGGACGGCGGCGTAGTTACGCCGCAGCTCTGATACCATATCGGATTGTCTAACACATGGAAGGTAAGAGAGAAGAAGTGAACGAAAGCAGGAAGAAGAAGATTTATTATCTGCTGAGTCAACAGGGAGCAATAGCAACATATATACTGTGGACGTAAGCCTCTTGGCAATTATAACTGCCCATAACAAGGGAATTACATAAAAGCCCTTTAGGATTGTTTTATATCATCTAATACGTATTTAATTATTTTTTTCAATTGTAAATGATGAGTTACGTCTCATAGGAGGGAGGGAGTAATATTTATTGACCAACCTAGCTAGGAAAAAAAATTCTATATCCTTGCCTTGCAAAAATTTGGCAACTTATAATTAGCTTCTAGCTACCACAACCATATATGCATTGATTACATTTCTATACGTTCCAGGGAGGTGTAATGATACACCATTGATGGGCAATGATCTTGACTTCCGACAATTCTGGGATGGGTGACCCCCTGGGAAGTAAGCATAGTGCAACGCCGAGATCCATCAGGTTGTTACAGTAAATTTTCAAAAAAGGTTAAAGGCAAAGAAGGCAAAGATTATATAAATGTTCCTGAGTTCATACATTTGCTGCGAATATGTCAAAAATGATATGAACTTGAAATACTGTGTCTAGAGGTAATCTTCATTATATATATATATATGGTTGAACTATTCAGTAAAATTCTAGTTAATTCCATTATTGTTGCATTTCTTAATGAAATTTTTTGTGTTAATTATTAATTGATCGATTATTTATGCTTATTTGTTATTAGTTTTTGAAGCTAAATCGAGAGGATTTTGTACTTTTGGAGGATTTTAGTACAGTGGCACAAACACAAAAAATGTTTCGCACTTTGAAGCTAATTTAGCTAATTTTATCGGCCGAGGTCTGAAATGCAATCCATCAAGGTGTTAATTCCTTGCTTTTCAAGAATTGAGAAGGTTGTCATTAAGCGAAGTCTTATTTTTTTACCACAATGAGGAATTAAAAGTTATGCAGGAACTTTTATGTTTCCCTAGTGCATCTTCAAAAGGTGTAATTGTTTATGCATAATAGTGTTAATGGTGCACTTAAGTTTAGTAGCTAGTCTGTAATGGTTTGTGAGAATCCTTACCAATTTCTGAATGTACTAGCACAACTCTTTTTTTGGTTTATATCATTCAATTTCAAGTACTCTTCATACAAAATCTAAGAAGACATGCATTATTTTATGTTGAATTGGACATTTTTTCCATTGACTACCATAATGAATATTTTTCTTTAATTTAATTTTCTTTGAATACCAAACACAAAAATAAAAAATAAAAAAAAACGACGTCGTTTTATTAAAAACGCGCGTCTCCCTTTTAAAAAAAAAAAGCAGGTTCGATTCCCAGCAACAACATTATGTTGTTCATTCATTCTGGAATTTTAGTTCATAGATTATGGAATTTTAGTTCATTGATTCTGGAATTATAGTTCATCAATTCTGGAATTGTAGTTCATCGATTCTGAAATTTTAGTTCATAGATTCTTGAATTTTAGTTCATTCATTTTGGAATTTTTAGTTCATAGATTAGATTCTGGAATTTTAGTTTATAGATTCTGGAATTATAGTTCATCGATTCTGGAATTATAATTTATCGATTCTGGATTTTTAGTTCATATGTTGTTGCTGGGAACCGAACCTGATTTTTTTTTTTTAAAGGGGAGACGTACGTTTTTAATAAAACGACGTCGTTTTTGCATCCGTATGCACCATGCATGGTGCATACGGATGCACGGCATAATTTGCCATTTACAATTGGTCTATTTATTTCTACTTGTACTCTCTTTTGTTTGACTTATAAGAGCATTCTCATTAGTGCATTTTGTACAATTTTTTAGAATAACTTTGGTGATGTGGATGAGAGAAGGTAGAGAGAGAGAGAGAGAGAGAGAGAGAGAGAGAGAGAGAAAATTAGAGTTCTTATTGCAAAGAATGAGTTTTTTGTGGTCCCAATGCACAACAAAGATAACAATTGATTATTCTTTTTTTTTTCTTGCGCCAAAAACCTCTTTTCATTTTTTTTTTTTAACTTTAAAATTCTTCATTCTCTTTCCTTATCATCTCTCATACTTGGCACCTCAAAAACTCCACCGCAAGATGCATGTTGTGATGTAAGTATTATTTGTTTACAAATATACTACGCAAGCATTAGTTACTAATTTATTCATTAGAGCTAATCCTAACAATTGTTTAAATGATTGATTTGCATAAAATAAATAAAGCAGAGATTCAGGATTTTGAAAACAATTAGAGAGAAGATGATATTCTTGGGATTCAAGTATTTAATCACTTAGTGCCAAATCTTAAGGAGAATATTAAAATCTGGGTTTAACAAGTGTGAGGATGCAAGTTGGTATAGAGCTACTCTCGTAGTCACTAACACTAGTAAATTTCCACTCTCGTGGCTTACACACCCAATAAAACAAGATCAAACATCATAAACTCCTAACTACTACCATCTCTCGATGCGCAATAATCAAGAATTAAACTCCCTAACAAAATTACCTTTCTCAAGGTGCAACAGTTAGGTGCAATTGTGTATGCCTTAAATTATGCCAAACTCTTGTTGTGACACAAAGATAGCAAACGAAACAAGTAACTATGACCACTAATTACAAGCATCAAACAATAAAATCACAATTGCAACACAAACATTAAACCCAAATAATAATATATTAAAGAATCTAAAGGCTCAGGCACATAGGTTCATAAACACTTTTACCCAAGAATCTCTAAAGAATTTAGTCAAGCATGGCTAAATTATACATAGCAAATATTAATAAAGAAAATACAAATTATCAAAAAAGTACAAGAATGAACCAGACGATTCTCTCGAATCTCTCTAGTTTTCTTCTTGCTTTCTAAGACAACTTGTGGCTCTTGATTTCTCCCGGTCTTGTCTCCAAAGATCTCTAAATTCTGAATTAGGGTTGAGGAATGTGGAATTTTATAGTAGGGGGGCGAAAAAGGAATCTCTTATTTTAATTCGGAATTACCGCCTTTGATAATTAGATTTGGAAGATTCCTTCCTTTTAATTTGGAGAAAGAGCCTTGAAGTCAGCGATCCTCTAAATTGATTTGGTAATTAAATTCGGCACATTGATTTCTTTAGAAACAGCGCCTTTTGCGCTATTATGACTCTACTAGTATTTGACCCGTGCGCTTCACGATATGTAAATTAAAAAGTATTAACAGGGCGTTTGGTTGGAGGGATTTTAAATTCCCTTCCCACTTAATTCTCACCTAATTCCGAAGACCATTAAATTCCGTAGTTTGGTTGGAGGGAATTGCAATTCCATGGAATTGCAATTCCCCCATTTTCATGGAATTAAAATCCCATGTCCCCCCCTGGTATTTTAATTCCTGGGAAAAAAAGATAGTGATGAGTCAAAATTACTCATGCCTTTTTTTATCCTAAAATTAATGTCTAACAACAATAATGGACATTTTTGACTTTATACTACTTATTCCCTTTCAATTCCCATGTATACCAAACATTGGAATTGAAATTCCCAGTAATTCTATTCCTGTCAACCAAACACTGGAAAAGGCGCACGGGTGTGTATGTTGGTAATTGTGGTAATTGTGTGTATGTTATGTTACAATTTGTGTGAACTAATGCGGTTAAAATTTATAACATATAAATGAAATATGTTTGGGAATTCAACAAAAACAATATGAAAACGGTATATTACAAATAGTTGCAAGGTGATGGTACTAAGAAAAGAGAACTTTACAAAATTACAAATTATTGAAAACTTCATGATATACAACATTAGTGGTTGATGTAGTAGTTGAACTTGGGTCTTTGACTATCAATATTTTGAGATCGTCTGGATTGTTAACCCGAGATGCAGCTACGTACAACTGACCGTGTACAAAAACTGGTTTCTTTAGTATTAAACCAACATGAGTCAACGTTTGTCCTTGACTTTTGTTTATGGTCATTGCATATGAAAGCATTAATGGAAATTGCCTTCGTTGAAACTTGAACGGCAATCTTGGATCAGAGGGTGACATTGACATTCGGGGGATCAACACTTTTGTACCTTTGTTAGGTCCAGTCAGAATCTCGCCTTCAATAACATGGTCTGCTAGCTTTGTGATTATCAACCGAGTTCCATTGCACAAACCAAGAGAATGGTCAATATTTCTTATTAACATTACCAGTGAACCGATTTTCAAAGTCAGTGTATGATTTCGTAGACCTGAAACCCTAATGCTGTTTAGAAATTCCGGTGTGTGTACATCTCCAAATATGCCGTTGTCGCCATCGGCTTTGCATACTGCGTCTGAACTATAGTATGACCTACTTTCGGCATTATGCAACTCAGTCATATAGTCATTGACTGTGTTGACCACATCGAGCGTTGGAGCTAATATAGCACGACCTAGCAGATGCTCGGGGTCGGTGTTTCCATTTGCAAACATAGGAAATGTATTGTGCACAATTGTTTTAATATCGTCCCTTTCGGATGACAGTAACATGTGTTTTGGTATTTCAACCTCTGCGAAACCATCATTCCGCCCACCCAGCTTTCCATCACCGACATTAGCAATCCAATCGACAAATTCTTGTAATGCCTGCCGGTTTCCTACGTTTGGTACCGAACTTAGTCTGAGGTTTTTAGTCAACCTTAAAATTTTGCAACTATCCCATAGATATGATGAATTGATGGCTGAAGAAACAATATCTTGCCGTGTACCTTTTGGAACTATTGGGAGAATTTGGCGGAAATCTCCACCCAAAACAACTTTTTACCACCAAACGTCTTCATTTCACTACACGGGTCTACAAAACGCAACAAATCCCGCATAGTTCGATCTAAGGCTTCAAAGCAATGTTTGTGCATCATGGGAGCTTCATCCCATATTATCAATCTCGTCTTTATCAACAATTCAGCCAGGTCGCTACCTTGTTTAATGTTACAGGTCGAGTCTTCGTTTATTGCAATAGGTATTGCAGATCTTGAGTGTGCAATTCGGCCACCTGGTAACAACAAAGAAGCCATGCCACTTGATGCGACATTTAAAACGATCTGACATTTGCATCAGACTGCAGCTGACAACACTCTCCACAAGAAAGTCTTTCCTGTTCCACCGTATCCATAAACAAAAAATAAGCCACCTTTACCGTCTGCAATGTCTTGTATAACCGTATCATAGATGAGACTCTGTTCTTCAGTTAGTTTGGCACATAGCAGTTCAGCATCTTCTTTCAACTGTTCACGATTGTAACATAACTCTTCAAAAACCAACCGATTTTGAAACAACCTTGAATTATCAGTACTTGGTATTGGCATCGGAGGGTAGTCTTTTAAAGACTTATTTTGTTGCCCCAAAAGGTTTTCCAATTCCAACAATGCAAAGTTCTTTTTCTCTTCCTCTGTTAAGACCAAATCTATTACGATGCCAACAGCCAGATAGTTATAAATATAACCTAAGAAATTTGATGAAAGATTATTATATCATAAAAAATTTACATTACCTTGTTGTTTTAATATTCTTCTTTGATAGTGTTGAGCATCTTCACACAAATGTTGCCACACTTGATTCCAAACATTTTCGGGCCTAATAATTGAGGAGGATGTTAGTAAGACAACAAATAGCTTCCTCAATGAATGTGCAGTTGACCAGTAGCTTGCTTCATTTATAGCATCAATGTATTCTTTATCATCGTCTAACAATCCATGAGCATAACATGCATCTCTAAAGGTCAAGTACTCAACACCATTAACTGTCCTAATATCTTGGAAACCTTTTGGACCACAGATTATGTTCAATAGACACCTTAAATAATAAATTTCTCCTGAAGCTGGTGGTACATAGAATATTCGACCAATTGAGAAACCCTTCTTTCTTGGATGCCATTCACGGATGTCCTTTTTCCACACAAATTTGGTAGGCATTTCAATGTAAGTTAATAAGCTCGCTTCTTTAAACTTCTGGTTGGCTACAAACCATGCATTAAACATACTTTGCCCAACGGTCTCTCTATTGAGGACATGATCAATCGTATCATCGTCTTGGAAAACAACTGATTGGCAGTCAGGCAAGTGAAAGCTTACTCGCTCAACCGGTAGAGTTCTGTACTGGACTTCAAAACTAAACAACCTCCAAGCTGCCTCGCATGCAGAGATGTATCTGCAGTCATAGTACATGTTTATTTCATCCACCATCTCATTACCAGCTTCATCCATCGTAGTCTTATAAAGCTCAGCCGTTACACGGTCGTTACCCTTGTTGACATACTTGAATAGGTACTTGATTGACCTAGATTGGTTACACCACTCTACATTAATGTGGGCTACTTTGTATTTCAAGAGCAAGTACCGATTATGTGGTACAACATACCTATTGTCCAACTCTATTCCATTTTTTTTTATTGTCCTCTTATCATCCCTTCTTCGATACAACGGGTAACCATCCTAGTCAAAATGGGATGCATCAATGTATCTTTTTGGAAAATACTTCGAACACTTGCCATTTACCGTGCACGGTGAATTACTCCTGGCAACACCACACGGGCCGTGCAACATGAATTCTTCGACAGCTTTGTATACTCAATGTCCCTCAGCTTGTCTGGGATCTCGGCAGAAATGATCGTGTCCATAAAAGTAGGATTGGCAAAGCAGCTCGTCCCTTGTAGGAACAGTAATATGTGAGCATATGCAAGACCTCGTTTCTGAAACTCAATTGTGTATATTACTGTCCAAAAAACAATTAGATGATGTGAGTTCTAAGATTCGTATTCTTAAGTATTTTATGAAAAACGGCAGTTATAAGGAAATGCGGAGCGCACCTGCCCTTACCGCACCAAACAGTTTCCCATTTTTTTATTTCTTTTATTAAGCAGTCTAGCTTCATCTTGAAAACTCGGCAAACAATGTCCGGTCGATCTTCAGCTTTCAAATTTCTTTTCTCCAAAAAGCGTTGAATCTCGGGCCATTTAGGATTACATGTAAAAGTAATAAACAGATTTGGATAACCTATAAATCTGCAAATTGGAGTTGCCATGGCGTCTTGGTAGTTTTGTATCAAGTATCTTGCTCCTCCCGTGAAACTTGAAGGTAATATTATTCTTTTACCTTGAGAGCTAGGTTGAACTTCACCTCGTGTCAACGCATCAGAGAGACCTTTGTACGCCTCACACCTCAAAGCTTTTTGATTTGACCTAGTATATAGTAACCTCTAAGATTCAACCATAGTATACGCATCAACCAAGAATTGTTGGAATAACCTTTTAGGGTACATTATAGTTGAGATCTCATTTGATCTTTCGTGAATACGGAACGCGAAGTACTTTCTTTGTGAAACACTCTTTCGTGCAAAATTTTGTTTAGTACAATGTGTTGCAAAGTGTATATCTTCCCTAAAACCATACTCTCCATATAGAAATAAAATTGGGTATTGCAATGGTAGATACGCTGGGTTTAATTCACTTATTCGTTTCAGGATTCCAGATTTAGACTCGACCACAATATCACGTTCACCCATGCAAGGGTCTAAATCTCCAACAATGAGAGCAGCAACCTCGGAAGTAGTTGGTAGCGCATACGTTCTGGCATCTTTAGACCTCTTCCCTATTAATCTCATTCTAATTTCACTTTTAGGATTAGATTCCATAAATGACTTGGCCATTCGGAATGACTTAACCAAAACATTGTGCTCATCTGGGTTTTGCTTAATGTCATGAACTACATCAAGATGCAATGTAGAACCATTGTTTTCCGCCCTAAAAAAATAAGAATATATAATATAAGATTTTAAGTATTAACCAATGAGAGGCCCAAAAGAGTTTACTAACACAGAATATTATACCTCAAAGAGTTGAAGCGATTTTCTATCTCATTCTCTGTATCATGAATGTATAATTGTGAAAATTTAGGTTGAGTGCCAAGTGAAGGCAATAAACTTCCAATGCGATGGAAATTTTGACCATTTATACGGAATATAGGCGGCGATGTTCCGTTGTTAATAGTTCTATCAATTTTTCCACCCATCGACGTGAAGCAAAACATGTTGTTATAGGACCTTATATTCTTCAAAAAACATTTGTTTTTATCACTTGATATAAAGAATAGATCATACAACTTTTGAGGAGGCTTTGTCATGAATGGCAACTTTATCTTACCATTCACACAACATGCGGAGTATTTAGGCCCGTCACATGACCTTGAATTGCTTGACCGTTCATTGTACCAAAAAAATGAATTACAATGCTCGCAAACATACTCTGGATTACCACTATCAAAATAATAGTCTAAAAAGAAAAAAAAATTAATATTAGTTCATATTTAACAAAATAATATAGTTCATTGTCGTCCAAAGATAGTATGTATTCGTCCGACAACATTTAATATGAACTCACCATTTTTTGAGGGCATATTGTCATGTAATTGTTCAACAACTTCCTGAAAATCTGACATCAAATTTCGACAATGCTCGATGGGTTTAGTCTCCGGCTCTACCACGACTATTTGCCGGTTATTGTCATTTGTAATACAACAATTACTTTCAAATCCTACACAAACGATTACAAAATATATTACATGATTATTAAATATTTACTTAAACATTATAATTTACTATTGACTATGCAATAAGCAACTCGTCCTCGTAATATATTTATACCTAGTTGCGAATCTGGGGTTCGATTTAAGTCGAAGCAACGATTCTGGTAGTTGGATGTAGTTGGTCTGTCGCGGTCCCCATTAACTGTATCACAATTTGCTTTAATTAAAAAGATATTATACAAAGACTTGTTAGACTATTAAGTATTCCATTTGACTACATATATAAATTTATAGTAATCTTATTACAATATACTTGTTGAGATTATTACTATTTGATATGTTGCTAAATGGCATTCTGCTACAAAAATCTTGCGTTGAGGTAGTCTGTATTGTCGTTCGTACCGGAGAAGAAGCTGTGAATTACAGTAACAAAGATTATTATCAAGTAACAGTAAACACATATGACTATAAATTATTACCTTGCGAGACTGGTGATCTATTTAAGTCGAACGAATGATTATGGCGCTTGGTTCTCGGTGATTTATCACGGTCCCCGGTAGCTCGAGCGAAATTTGCTTTAATTATAGAACAGGCGTACAAAACACACGTTATAATATTAATTATCCCATTTGATTGTTAGAGAATTTATACAAATATTATTATAATATTGGTTGAGCTTCATACTATTTGATATGTTGCTTAATGGCATTCTGCTACTAAAATCTTGCATTGGGGTAGTCCGTATTGTCGTCCGAACCGCAGGTTCACCTGTCGATTGCAGTGACAACTAATATTAACAACAATTCATTAAGGGAGTGAATTGTTCCAAAAGAAAACACTTACCATTTGTATGAATACTTAAAGGCGTACTTAGCGAACTTTGGAAAACACCAATTAGCGGTGTACCCATTTTTGTATTCTTGGTAGATTCAAAGGACGGCATGTACGTTGAACCATTGACAGTGATATTTTCATTCTCTGTACAAAAAAAAAAAAAAAAAAAACAATGTTATCACTACACATGTATTTTTTGGTATACCCATTTTTGTTACTCATACCGAGATCTACTTTAATTATTCAATAATAGGTTGTCAATAATGACGTTATTATATTGTATAATCACAATTATAATGTTAAAGTAATACTAATACTTTAATATTTAGTCATAATATTATTATATCGTATCATAATATAATATAATCATATCATAATCATAATAACATTAAAAATCTTTACACAGCTTAATCTCATTTTTTAGTAGAACGTTAATAATATTACTTTCATAATTGCCTAAATATTAATAATAACATTTAAAAGTGTAATGATACAAATAATAATGATTAATATTATTATCAAATAATAACAATACTAATATTACTATAAGAATAAAAAAATAATAAAAATATAGTAATAAGTAAAATTAATATTAATTACCAACAATTATAATAAACAATTTAGTACATGAAGTTGTAATACATAAACAATTAAACTATAAAATGAATAATAATAATAATATTTATGCGCAATGCGATGCGGTGATGTTATGACTAAATAATAATAATATTTATGCGATGCACAATTAAACAATTTTATGACTAAATAACAGTACATGTACTTTAATATCAATATTAATAATAATTATTATTATAATTGCGGTGATGTTCACAGCTGGCCTGAGACGGTGATGTTTACAGTTGGCCTTCCCTTTCCAACACACCTAGAAGGCTCCATTCTGAGCTCATTTCACTCATCCTATTGTGGGTTCTCTCACTACAAATGGAGTTGATTACTCCGGTTAGGGTTCGATTTGTCAGTCTCGAACCCTCTATACTATGGATTCACGATGAAGATGATGTTTCTGTGAAGTATCAACTGACGCATACGTATCCACAATACTCCCAATCTGAGTGTTCACTCCATAGTCAAAACCCCGAGTCGGAGTTATCACCGGGTCTATCGTCCTCTAAAGATGAACACTATACTTCGCCAGAGGTCATGGGTAAACAGAGATCGAAGCTTGGTAGTAATAAATGTGTGTGATGATCAACGGTGGACCAAGGCAGAAATGGGTGTTCTCTTACACGATTTCTAGGATTTATACCAAGTTGGGTAAGGATTTCTAACCCTATCTCTACTACGTTTTCAGATCTAAGTATGGTGTATATATATCTATCTAAAATGGCAGCTAGCTTATAGAACTAATTTTTAGAACTCATCTTACTATAGAACACATGCATGTGGATTTTGTTTATCACAACATCTATATACTGAAATTTAATTTGTGCCATTAATTTTTTGGGCCAAGAACACATACACATAGTTTATATGGTTTGAGATAGTCTTTAGGTCTATACTCTAACACAGAATAGTATAATTACTTTAACAGTATATAGTATTACCTTGGTTGTTGCTGGGATGCTTCCGCTTCGAACCAATGGTGGTTGAAGATGTAATTTTCTTCATGTGTTCGTCGGGAGATGAATTGGCTAAATTCCAATTTTGTTTAGGTGGTGCTTCAGAGAGATTAAGAATATCTCTGTGTTGATTATATAGTAGTAGAGCATTCCCAACCAAGATTGGGAGACAACATTGGAAAATGGTGATTATAATTCAAGTTGGAATATTAAAAGTTTTAGTTGTGCTACTTAATGCATAGTGATATCAATATACGTGCTAGTTGCATA